GAAAATGATAGCCAAAAAGTCTATTCCTAGTTTTAAAGGAATGTGTTAGTGACATTTAAAGAAAGAAATGTTCTTTTATAAAGAGTATCTAAAAATATTTCCAAAAACACAAATAACAGAGCACTACCCTAATTTGCTAATGCTACTCTCAGTTGCTAAAACGTTTAAATATTATATCTGTGTGCTTCCTCCTGACCTTCAATAAGAATTAAAATGTCAACCCATCTTTCAAGACAGCAATAGAGATGGAACACTTCCAAAACACTATTGTGGCACAAAAGAAATGAGCTTCCCACCATGGGAGATCGCAGAGATCCTCATGGAAAGGAAAGTTTTAATTGCGCTTTGCAGGCAACTCAGCAACCTCAGACAAATATCCACAGGGCCACTCTTCTTCTCCTGTCCTAGATGCAAATTTGCTTTCTCTTTGCCAGTCAGTTTATCAGCCATGAATACCTCCCAGAAGTGCCTTGTCATAGGTGCTCACAGAGGCCAGCACCATGTAAAGAAAAGAAGTGATGTTGCCGGTGCCCCAGAAGAAAGCTCCTTTGAACACATTCATTTATAGGCTTGCCAAATGTTTAGCCAGGAAAACCAAAAGTCTGGAGGAATTTAAAGTTGCAATAAAACAACATTTTATCTTTTGAATGTTCCAGGAAACATCAAGTCAATGCAATATTTAATAATAATAATGATAATAATAATAATAATAAAAACTACAGCATGTTTTGGTAACAGAAGCAACAACACAACAAAAAGTATTCAATAAAGAACTGTGTTCTGGAAGTAGAGTGGCAGAGGGAGGCATCACACAGCAGTTCTAATTGGCAACTGCACAGCAGTTTGATTTGATAGAGTTAAGCTGAAAATGATAAAGGAATTCATTATCCTTTCAGTTAGCTAGGAAAGAGACCAAAGAAATTCTCATAAAAGCTCAAGATCAAGCACTAGCACACAACATACCTTTTGGGTACATAGAAATATGAAAAGGGTTTAAGAAAAATCTGAAGGTAACTGTGAAATAAAGGTTCAGGAAAAGAAGGCCATAACATCAGAGAGGCCCACATGGGGCTTTCAAAGATATGGGTAATGGGCAATTTCTTGGGCTGGGTGTAAGGCCCACAGGTGTTCATTTTATTATTACCCTTTATAACTCACAAATTTATTATGTCCTTCTTTAAAACATATATGAAACATTGCACAGTAAAAGATGAAAACCACTACAGGTGGGTAAAGGGGTAGCCAGAGAAATGGAAGTGCATCATACTCAAAACTTAATTATCAGCAACATAAACACATTTCCAGATAGAAAGAACAAGAGTTTTTTTCTAAGTAAAGTGGGATTAACCTAACGGCAAAGTAACAATCACCATGTTTGCTCATAGGTGAATGCGAGTCTGAAATCCCGTCTAATATGAAGGAATACAACAGAGCCTTGAACCAAAGGTGATTGCCAAATATATACATCGATTCTGGGTTGCTTAAGATTTTCCTGAAATATAGGGATCCTATTGCACACTGGCCTGTCTCACCCAATGAACACTTATGGGAGAAAATCTTTAACTTCATAGACTCCGATCAAGACATGAGATATGGAATACAAAGAAGGAAATGTCCCACATAGCAGGATTGGTTGTTCATGGTTGCATATTTGCTAATTACCCCTCACTCACAAGGTTTAAAAAGCAACATACTCACTGTTCCCACTGGAGAGCCTGACATGCCTTTGTTTGCACATTTTAAAATATTGTTTTATTTTAACATGTATGGGCATTTTGCCTACAAGTATGTATGTTCACCATGTGCATGTCTGGTGTCCAGGGAGCCAACAGGACACTGAACCACCATGTGGGTGCTGGCTATCAAACCCAAGATCTCTGAAAAAGCAGCCAGTGCTTTTAACTGCTGACCCATCTTGCCAACCTCTGTTTGCACATTTCTTAGCCATACTATGTCCATCAGGCTTAAGAAAGCACTCCTACAAGGCCTGGGAAACATGCGATTATACTTTAGCAGGTAAAAATGTATTGGCCTTTTCCCTCCCTCTAAAAGCATATAGAAAATTAATTCTTTTCAGCTGTCTCATTCAGGAACAAAAATTTGCTTTGTGTTAAATGTGGAGTTTGTAGGCTGGGATTTGTCAGCATCTCTTGATCTGAGGAGTGGGACATGGCAGGCAAGTGTTGCAAACATGTTTGTGGCCACACTGTCCCTATACATGACTGGATACAGAAACTGTCTTCTGGGAGCCATTTAAACTATCTCTAAATCTTGTTCCTGGACACTCATTAGCCAAATTTTCAACCTATGGTGTCTGCTTTTTAAAACATATAAGGATATTTTATGTGACATTTCATTTTGCTGGACAGTACTCAGTTCAAAAAAGATTAGCTCTGGGACTAGAGAAATGGCTCAGTGGGTAAAGCGCTTGCTACTGAGTTTCAATTCCCAGAATCCACATAAAAGCAAGATGCAGTCAATTCCCTAAGGAGTGATGGGAAGAAGACACAGGAGAAATTATGAGATGCTCATAGGGTAGCTAGCCTGGAGTATGAAGCAATATGAAGAACAAGACAAGCCATGTCAAATAAGGAGGAAGGAGAGGACTCCTGACACTGCTTTCTGATCTTCACATAGTACACATCTGCAATCACATCCATGTTCACGTGTTGGGGGGTGGAGAAAGAGAGAGTTCTGCTAAGGTAATACAAAAACTATATTTGACACTTAAATTCATGTATCTAAGAATTCCTGGAAGCCTATTATGGACATGGCCACAAATTTTTTTTTTTCGAGACAGAGTTTCTCTGTATTGTTTTGCAGGCTGTCCTGGAACTCGCTCTGTAGACCAGGCTGGACTTGAACTCACAGAGATTCACCTGCCTCTGTCTCCCAAGTGCTGGGATTAAAGGTGTGCGCCACCAACACCCGGCTCATGGCCACAAATTTGAGTGACACAGTAGCTGCCCCACTTGCTTACAATGTGAGGAATGCCTTTCAGAAGAAGAATGCTCTATTCTATACAAAGATGTATCAAATCCTAGCCCCCTCTCTGGTTCTCAATGACCTATGACTTATCCAGTTATTTATTAAATAACTGGAGGGAAAAAATTCCCATCCTAGAAAGTGCGGAAAGCATGTTAGTATCTGACAGAGTCTCCTGTTAAGTGTCAGAAAGATGTAAACTGCATGGTACCAGCAGAGCAAATAAATACTTTGGAGAAAACTCTTCTAGAGAATTCACAGTTGAGCAAGGAATTAAAAATTGGTTACCAGGACAGTGAATTTCCAAGAAAAATGCAATAGTGAGGTCAAGTTACTGGGGGCAGGGAGAGGATGTCCCCTTGAAAATGCTATTCAAAAGACAAGGACTTGGGACATTGGCAATGAGTATAGGTAATAAAGAGTAAGTTGAAAATGATACTTGAGCATGCCCTCTAAACTTTTGCACCCCCAAAGTAACCCAGGTGTGTGTGTGTGTGGGGGGTGTTTCCTCAATTAAATGGTAAAAGTGAGCATAAGATAGACAAAATCTGAAAACGCTGACTCCATAGAAACTGAGAGTGGTTTAAATGCTTCCTAAGTCTGGGGAGAAGAGTGTGGTTGGCGCTTAGGGACACATATTATAGGTGGATAGCAGGAACAAGTTCTGTTGCCCACCAGAGTGAATATAGTTACCCATAATATACTATATATTTCAAAGTAGCTGCGAGAGAGTATTTTAGATGTTCTGTGAACAAAGAAATAATAAGCTTAAGTGACAGATAATTCTAGCTAGTCAGATTTGATCAATATACAATGCACAGAAAAACATGAAACATCACATTGTATACTAGTTGTGTGTATACTTATATGTCAATCAAAAGTAAAAGCCAGACATGGTAGAATACACTTGTAATTCCAGCAATGGAGAAGCTGACATACAAGGATAGAGAATTTGAAGCTAGCCTAGACAACAAAAAAATAATGATAAGAGATACATATTCTGGTCTTATTTCAGCACATTTTAGAAAGATAGTGAACCTTCAGTTTAAACATGCAGTAAATTAGTCACAAAACATCTACCACTCTTATTTAGGCCACTCTGATCCTGGGGTTGACCTAGTTCTTTTGGACACATTTTCATCCTTGCCTTTTTTTGTTTCAGGCCATTGTCTTCTTTTTTACAGCCATGACTTAGAGCCATGGTTAGGTTATCAACCCAGTTGCAGGTGTGTTACACAGAAAACGAGAATAAACAGGAGGTGTGAACTGTCTATGAGCTGATAGAAAAGGGAAGCCTGAACTGGGGAAGGCTGCAGGGAGGGGATGAAGGGTGAAAGCCCACAGTTCGCAAGGCACACACCTTTAATCCTAGCACTCAGGAGGCAGAAGGGGATCTCTGAGTTCATAGACAGCCTGGTCTACAGAGGGAGTTCCAAGACAGTCTGAGCTCCACAGAGAAACCCTGTCTTGAAAAAAAAAATAAACAAACAAAAATCCAAGGAGAAAAAAAGAGACCACAGTTCACAATACTAGTGACAATTGTCCCAGGGGTCCCAAAAATGAGAACCAAGATGTCCAGATGGGAACTAAAGACTAACAGAGCTACCCAAAGACATTTGCCACCAATGAAGTTCTTTAGACAAACTATGGCCAGAGTTCACTGAAGGCCACATATGATAGTATATAATCTATAGATTCCATTTGTATAAAATTCTTGTGTTAGTAGTCAGGATAGTGGATAACTCAGATGAAGACAGAGACCGGGGGATCGCAGGGACCTTTGGAGTGGCTATAAAGTTCAACCTTTTAAATCTGAGTACAGATTGCATTAGGTAGGCTCACTTGGGAATAATTCATCAAGAAAGCACAGTTATAATTTGTGTTTTCTGGATATATGTATACTTTAAAAATTAATTTAAAAGACACACCTAGAGTCCCTGCTACACATATTTTAAAAGAAGCTTCTATTTAGATAAATTGAATACAAAGCACCCCGTGGGCCATGGCAAACCCACCAGTCTTGATAGATGGGAGAGAGGAGGATTCATCCCACAGGTATGAAGCTAGACCTTCTTGGCTAGACTCAAGACTACACATCTGGATGCTGCAATCTGCAAAAAAAAAAATCATTCACCAACCCATCTGGAAAACAGTTTTAAGAGGAAAGTGTGGCAAGCATCTCATTTTACAGATGAGGAAGTGCCAGAGGACAGCAAAGTGCTACACGACAGTAGCAAAGCTAATCAGCCAGGGAACCAGGACTGAGGTCTATTCCAATAGCTCTTCACATAGTTTTCTTCCTTAAGAGGAAGGGGAACAGAAAGAATCCTGTTTCCGTGTTATTATATGTACTGCCATGGGTCACCTCTAATGTTTCATGGAATAAGACAGAACAGTGAGACATGCTATAAGACTTTACTGAAGCTCATTTAAAAACACGCTTTAAGCATAGTCTTAAAAATAAAGCAATGTTTTGTAAATTCTTCTACAGAAAGACAATAGTGCAAGCAGTGGGATATGATAGACATCAAAAGTATAAATTGCTGATGTAAGGACATAAGTCTTTTCACATCTTAAAAAAAAAAGACGCATCCCAATAGATGGATACTCCACTTACCCAGAAGTGTCTGCTTATTTGGGGAGGAGTCAGACTCTGAAGAACATCTGCAGGACCGGAGAACAATCACTCCACCAAGCACACCATCTTCACTGGCAAGGAAAGGTGAACCTGGGCAGAAAAGACTAGCAGTCACCTTTCAGTTACTTTTGTTTTTTCATTTTCAATTTCCAGTTCATTGTCAGAACAAATGTGGCATGAATGAGAACTTGAAAGATGCCCAGTTTCTGACAGGCATTGTTCATACCTCATATACACTTGATGGCAAAGGCAGTCTTATGCCTGAACAGGAGCCACTTGGCAAACGCAGTGCCAGTTACTGCCAAGATGACATGAGTCGGGGAGAGCGTGTACAGCACTGCATTTGGAACAGAACTGGAAACACCACCAGATTAAAGGGCCAAACAACTACACACACACACACACACACACAAAGTTCAGCATCAGCCTTTGATCAACCCTCCGAGATCCTGCGCAAGACTCTCCCTGCTGCCAGAGGCACACCACCAAGCACTTTGATTTACTACCTTAAATTCAATTTTAAACAATAAGCCACAAAGTTTATTACAAACATCTAAAAATGCTCCTGATGGTTTACACAAATAAGGGTGAAGCCGAATTTCTATTATGTGAATCTGGTGGTTAGAAACAGCCCAGCCTCCTTGCGATCTCACACACTGAACCATTGTGAACATTTTAAGAACATTACATTTTAAATCCCCTCATTTTTCTTCCCCAAGGACATCTTCTTGAACATCTGGCATAACAAGTAAGCACGTGGAGAACAAATGCAAAATTAACCCAACAACTATCAAAGAAAGTAGTAAAAATAAAACCAACCAAATTGGATTTGGGGGGAACTTCTGGTTAAATTTAGTAGATTAAATACATGCATTTATCTCCACGCCCTCCTCAAATCCCAGGGAATTTTGGGTGAAAAAGAGAGCAGGGATAAAAATGACTCAAAAAAAAAAAAGTAGATATTTGGGAAATGGAGGAGCAGCTATTTCCCTTGCGGACCTGGTGTTCGAGCTAGTTTTTATGTCAAGTTAACACAAGCTACAAAGAAGCAATCTTAATTTAAAAACAAAAAGTATTCATAGTTCATAGAATTGCCTTGTAGGGAGGCCTGTAGGGCATTTTCTTGATTGATGATTGATATGGGAGGGCCCCAATCACTGTGGACGGTGATCCTGGGTACTTTAAAAAGCAGGCTGACCAGGATTATATGACAGACTCTGAAAATCCCTCATGGAAGGCCTTACCTTCCCTGGGGAGGGGAAGGGAGATGGTGTGGAATGGGGGGTTGGGAGGGCTGGGGGACAGTGGGAGGAGAGGAGGGAAAGAGAACTGAGAGTAATATGTGTAAAAAGTTCAATAAAATATATATAAAAAGCAGGCTGAGCAAGCCATCAGGGACAAGTCAGTACGCAACACTCCTTCATGACCTCTGCATCAGCTCCTGCCTCCAGATTGCTTCAATGATGGGCTGTGATGTGAAACTATAGTTGATCTTTTCCTTTATTTTTAGATTTTATTTAAATTAGAAACAATCTTTAATAATAATAATAATAATAATAATAATAATAATAATAATAATAATAAAGAATTTTTCTCCCCAAGCAGCTTCTGGTCATGGTGTTTTATCACAGCAATAGAAAGGACTAAGACACTCATGAAAGCTAAATCTCAAGTTTCCAGGAAGTAGAGAACACTGTAGCAAGAGGAACCTTCAAAAAAGCCATCTAGTTTAGCTACAAAATTGAAAAGGGTCAGGAATCAGAGGCTTAAATCTCTGCAAATGAAAGTACAGAGTAGAGATGAAATGAAGGTATCTGGTTCAATGTCTGAAAGAATCCCCCAGAACAGTGCTCAGCAAACTATGCACTGCTAAGAATTAAAAACAAATAAACAAAAAATTTCAATGGTTTGCATTCAAAAGATAAGAAAAGAAAGATGGGAGAGGGGAAAAGAACAACGTGGGGGCAAATAGGTAGCAGGGACCACAAGAAAGCTTGTGAAGCCAGTGACCTTTATTCTCAGCCTTTTACAGAAAGCTTGCTTTCCTCGTTAGGATTACTATTGCTGAGATGAAACGTGACCAAACCTACTTGGGGAGGAAAGTGTTTATTTGGCTTATGATTCTTTATTGCTGTTTATCATCAACAGAAGTCAGGACAGGAACTCAAACAAGGCAGGAACCGGGAGGCAGGAGCTGCTGCAGAAGCCATGAAGAGGTGCTGCTTTCTTACAGAACCCAGGAGCATCATCCCAGACTGGGTCTTCCCCCAAGGATCATTAATTAAGAACATGCACTCTAGTTGTCTGCTGACAGCCTGACCTTTTGGAGATAATTTCTTAATTCACGTTCCCTTCTCTCAGATGCCTCCAGATGTATCAAGTTGACATAAAACTAGCCAGCACACTTGTCAATCCCTGATCTATGGTCCAGGATTCATACTAGAAAAGAGATGGATTCCCTAAACCTACAGAGACTGGATAATCCCCTTCCTGCAAACCAACAGACACAAGAGGAGAAACCCATTTGAGAGACACTAAAAAAATAGCTTGTCCTTGCTTTATGGCACGGGAGAAGTTGAAGAGGGTCAGGGATTCTGTGAAGAGGGAGACATAGGCAAGGACCCTCTGTCCCCCATCTCTGTATTAACTACTTGTCTTCTAGTGGTGACAGAACATTTAAGGAAGGAGGGCTTGCTTTGGCTGAGAGTTCAAACCTTCTTGCCACATTTCTATCAGGGAAATAATACATAATCTTGGCTTAAAATTTGCTTTTACTTGGAATGTAAAAAATAAAATAATAAAAAAACAAAACAAAAAAATGCTGATATGCACAAGGGTAAAAAAGAATTTGCTTTTACCTGACTGACTTTTTTTCTTACTAATTTGCTACATTCTATATCAAGCCAGTATATCTATGGCCACGTGTAATACAAATATCGTCCTCAATTTATTAATTATTTCAATTTTACGTATGATTCTTCATCTCTGGCTTACTTGTTTTTGATGTTCATGTAGCTAATCTGTTAACCTTTTTGGTTAAGGCTTCTGTGTTGTTAAGTTTTACAGGAAAGCCTTTGCTAGTGGGAAATTATGAAAATATTTTGCCCATGCCCATGTTTTCTACTAGTATTTTTACAAATACAGACTTTAATCTTAAGACGTCAAACTTGTGGAATTAATTTTGGGATAAAGATTGCTGTGGAGATCTTGTGGTAGACTTAGTTCACCTAAATAGCCAGCCAACTCCATAATAAAACTTTGGTGAAAAATTCATTCCTTGTCTTTTGACATAAAAATGTCCTTTTTCTACTGACTTAAAATATATTTTATCATATATTAATTTTCATATGAATTTGAACCCATAAATTTTTTAAATGAAAAATACTCTCATATAAATAGTCTATGAATTTACTTATAGTCTTGCAGCATATTCTGCTTGAATGGACCAGTTTCTTCTCAATTTACTCTATTTTATAATACAATATTTTGTTTTCACATTTTTAAGCATTCCTTAACAGTCTTGCCTTTTCGTCTTATTTAAAATTTTTTCTGGACATAATTTAAATAATGTTTTTGTGATTTTTGCTGTGAGTCAAATATACTGATAAAATTTCCTTTGGTATATGTTTGATACTTCTACTCTTAAGCTTTGATGAAATAGATAGATGCAACTGTAGAACTGCATCAGTTCTTAGCCTTTCGATCTACCGTATCTCATTTACCACTATCCACATTTCTAAAACAAACAAAGAATTCATGGTAAGTGATCTTCAGCCCGGTCTCACAAAACAACAAAAATCAAACACAACAAAATAAAAACCCTCATGTTTCCAAGAGAGGTTGGATATCACATTATCTGAGTGAGGTTAAAACACTCTGAATTGGAAAAGGTTTAATTCAACTAGTCAAAAGTATATGAAAGACTTCCCTGACCCAGTATTTACAACATGTAAACTATTTTAAATACTTTTGAAGGAACAGATGCTTTGCTTAGTACAGTCAAGATCCCATGTGTGTGCTAAACCTTATGCCATTTATCATATAGTTCAAGACGTCTCCCAGAACTCTATGTTTAAGAGCAGTATCTTTTGCAAATAATGTCTAAATGTTCAAATAATGCAAATAAACACGTGGAAATGTCTGTACCAAGCTCTGCACAAGGATCTTAAATGGCATTAGGCTATCAAGAGCACTGCACACCTGGTGCTGCTATTGTGTGTTTTCCCCTTTTTGAAGTGTTTTCCTAGTCACCATTTGTCCAGAGTACTGACTTTCACTCTGTAACCTGTTTATACATATGTTCATAGTTACTCACTGCTCATTCTGCTTGGAGATGGTGCAATTTTAAAAAGGTCACATGGAAAAGAGTACCCAGTGGACAGAATATTATAGGTTCTTATCTTCTACAGGGTTCCAGAAAATTACTGAAGGGCAGATCAACCACAGACATGGAAACACCATGAACCTGGTGTAAATAGCACTAAGAGACAACTAGTTCTAGGTATAGAGGAGAGTTTTCATATCAATAATTTCACAACTGGTTCACTAAAAAAAGGGAGAGGAATCAGGTGTAGAGAGCAAGAGAACAACAATGCTGAAAGCACCCAGCCTAAAGAAGGAACACACACACACACACACACACACACACACACACACACACACACACACACACGCAACTAACTGTGAACTGCAAAGGTCATAGGGCAATAGTTAGGATCTGGTAGGTCAGAGTACTTTGCTGAAATCCGATGAGCAAGAAACAAATAGAAATCTATGGTATAAGAGAAGCTTTGAAAGACTAATGGTTCAGAGGGTCAAGAGTGTAATACCACGTGCTAAGATCTTTTGCTTGGCAAGCTGAGAACACAGTAAGTAAATCACTAAGGGACAATTTAGTCTAATGGAATTCCAACCACATTTTTCATTATTTCAAAAAGTCTAGCAAGTACTGCTGGACACAGTTCCACAACGAGGAGCTTCGCATTATGAGTGTTCCCTTCCCACTGAAGTATCACATACGTGCACTATTCTTTTTTTTTTAATCCTATAAAAGGAAAGGGTTACTAAAAGATGATACATCACCTCCAAGA